TAATTCCACAATCCAAGAGAAAATATTCAACATGTGAGCAGGTGTGAGAAAATTAAATGAAGATGTCTGCTAAAGATGTTTACATACAAATTCTTTTAAAATTGATGCAAAAAATGTGATAATCAAATCAGACTTACTTTATATGTATGTAAAAAAAAAAGAATTAGATGGATAATGTTGAAATTTATTAATAATCATGTGGTAATTATACTTGTTCCTTCTTCGGTTAGTGTCTTAGTTCGCACGACCGTTACGCGCTGTCAGTACTTCATAAATAATGGAGTCTTCCGTTTTGATCGCAAAGGACTTATCAGAGACAACACTTGGTTTCAGTGGAAAAAAAGAAAGACAAAAAAGATAGAAGCGTTTAACAATAGCTTATAAATAATGATCTATTCCGTTTTGATTGCGTTAATAACAACAGACACGTCAAAGATTCTTCTTGGTTTCAGTGAGAAAATGAAGAAAGAATGGAAGATAAAAGTTTCTGACGTCTGTTTAAGTGAAATGGAAAATAGCTGTCAATTTCAAATCTTTTCATTTATACCACCTTACTGCCCGTCCTGGGTATGACGATAAACTACATCCGCGTCCTGGGTAAGACGATAAACTACATCCGCGTCCTGGGTAAGACGATAAACTACACCCGCGTCCTGGATAGGACGATGAACTACATCCGCGTCCTGGGTAAGAATATGAACTACATCCGCGTCCTGGGTAAGACGATGAACTACACCCGCGTCCTGGATAGTACGATAAACTACATCCGCGTCCTGGGTAAGACGATAAACTACGTCCAACAGCAAGGCCTCTGATCAGGAGGTTTTGAGGAGCGTAGAATAACGTCTTAATTGCTGGTGTTCCCAAGTGCACCCTGACCTGGGGTGGTAGCACCTGTTAGAGTCAGTCACAGCCATGGAAAAATACTTACCCCCCCCCGCCCAAAAACACTATGCAAGTGTAAAAATAGGTTTTAATACCAGCAATAAATTTTTGGAAAAATTATTACCAGCAATACATTTTGGAAAAAAATACCAGCAATACTTTTTTGAAGGAAAAATTATTACCAGAGGTACATTTTTTAAAAAGAAAAATATTGCCAGCAATAAATTTTTGAAAAAAATATTAGCAGCAATACGTTTTTGAAAAAAAATATTACCAGCAATAAAAATCTTGTCAGCATTAAATAACCCATTGAGGTTGATATTCCATAAAACAAAACAAACCAACTTACTTTTTAAAAGAACGATCAGCATTTATGATTGTCATTGCAATGTTTTGTTAAAGTTGTTAAGCTCAAATATTTAACGATACGATAGGGGAATTTCCATGGATGATTTATTGTCGTAGAACTCTCAAGAATTAAGATTCATCCGAAATTTTAAATAGGAAAACGGTGAAATTTCCGCGAGGTAAAACTAGTTCATCAATCGAGCAAAATGAACGAGCAAAAAGTGCATTTTTACTCTCAAATGTAGAAAGCTCAATATCAAATTGAAAAAGTTCAACTTCAAATAACAAAATTCAACTCCAAATAAAAAAAAAACTCAACTTTAAATCAAAAAATTCAATTTCAAATTATAAACATACTCAACTTCAAATTAAGAAAGTTCAACTTCAAATAAAAATGCACCACTTCAAATAAAAAAGCCTCAACTTCAAATTAAAAAATTCTTGATTTCAAGTTATAAAAACTGAATTTCAAATTAAAATTTTATCATTGTGAAAAGATACAAGACTAGTTTACAAACAAACGAACAAACGAACAATATAACTGGAAATTAACCAGCTCCCACGTTATACCCCAGCTGAAGATCTTGTTGCGCCAAGATTGGGGAAAATGTTTCTGTACATGGTTTTACGTTTTCATGCAAAGTATTGAGGTAATACCAGTCATCACATCATCGATTGTCTCATCGAGGTAACTTAATCTGTATTCTGTCTGAGTAACTCCTGATTGTGTGAATCTATAATAGTTTCAGATGTTTCTGCCATCCGATGTTTCAAAGAAGTATTTATGATGCTACGTCATTCTTTGATTGGATTTTTAAAGAATCAGCTTTTTTAATTTGAATTTGATTTTATTTAATGTGAAGTTCAACTTTTTTTTTAATTTGAAATTAATCTTGTTTTTTAATTTGATGATAAAATGGTGTAGCTTAGAGTGAATCAGAACGCCATAGAAATATCGCTTTCAGAATTTAGGAACGTTTCAGTGCCTATTTTTTGTTGTGGCATTTCATCGTGTCAGAAGGTGTAGGTATCCTAACGGTTAACAGCATTGCAGTATTATGCCAGAATAGGTTTTGCATTCAATTTTACACTAGTGGAAAGAAGCCGGATCTAGGGTTGACCTAACATGTACTCAGCTGGGAGCAGAGATCTGAGATTTACCCATTGTCAGTGTTGACCCCGAGAAGTGAACACCTTTGAGCAACTGTCTATATTTCTGAGATGACACATGGCACAGTGGATAAAGGCGTTAGTTAGACCCAGTGACAGGACCCAAAAGAGTGTGAGTTCAATACCCGCTTAAGGCAGTGGAGAACTTTCAGAGGGAAATTAACAGGAGATAACTGATAACTGACATTCATTAAACATGTCGCATGGAACTAGAACAGTCTACCCCAGTGAGCGAAATAAAGGGTTCAGTTCGACATTCCAACCACCTGAAGAAGGCCGGAGCTTACAACGGCCGAAACGTTGTAATAAATATGGCGACAAAGATGAGGACAATAGTCTGAATAATGTAAATAATGTACCTTTGAGCAAGGCTGCAATTCTAGGGAATAGTTGGGTAGTCTCTAGCAGATATCTCAGGCCGGGCCTATAACGTACTCTTAGACCAAAGAACTCATGGGACAGGACCACAGACTGGCAGTAATTAAAGATTCAAGTCTCGTGTTTTTCGTTAATCAGCCTGTGTTTGCATTAATCAGCACAACGACTTCATTGCAACATGAAAAATCGAATTCGTGAGCCAATCCCAGTGAGGATTGACTGTCCTACACAGCAGTAATGTTCAACCAGACTAAACTTGCTAAATATTACCCAACGCCGAGACGCCTGAAAAATTTTCCTACAACTGAACAAAACGTTAGGAACAAGGTGAAGAAATTCTTCTTCTATGTATCATGTCCTTTCATGGCGCGAGTGTTCATGTCTGTCCACAACTTCCTGTCCCTTGGAGCTCTTGACAATATTTGTCCTTTTTCAATCTCTTCTAATTCCTGTTCTTCCAACCACTTACAAAATCTCGTTAAATAGTTTATTTGCTGCTTTACTCTGTACCTCTTGCCTTCAATAAATCCTGCCAAATTTTCGAAGCTCTCTTTTCGCGTTATCTAATTGGATCAAAAAGTTATTTGCAAAACTTCAAACTGGAGATTTCTGCTTCAACAATTTTCCAGGGGTGAGAAAACAAGTTGAGGTTGATAACTTATGAATAATCAATATTATCCAATTCAAAAGATTGCCAACATTCTCAAATTTTCAACAACTAGCAGTATAACCCGCCTTCGACCGGGTGTTTCATTACTGGGAATTTTTGCCGTTCAATTGGAGCAGTTTAAGTTTAAAGTCAGCCCACCCGAAAAGCAATATTAATAACAACAACTGAGTGAAACTGAGACACAGCCCCAAATGGGGGGGGGGAGGTTTAACAATTTGAATAAATTCCTGAAAAGGGCCGTTTTTCCATTCTCAATCTTGCAAGGAAGGAACCTTATCCATGGGCCGTTATAATAATAATATACGATAATTTTTATTTATAATATATTTTTTTTATAATTCTAATAATCTTTTGCGTAAGATTCCAACTCTCTAAATTGATTGTACGCGTTTTTTACAGACATTAAATTTTGCCTTTAATTTTTTGTGCAAAGTGTAAAAAATCAATTTTTTCGATTTTTCCCCTTCAAGGTTGTAATTTTTTCCAGCCAATTTGAACTCAAAAGAATTATCTATCAAACAAATAAAAATTCATCGAAATTGGATGAAAACTGTGGAAAGGCATCCGATCTCACACACACACACACACACACACACACTTACATACACACCATTTTGGGAATTCTAGATATAGACTGAAAATCATTTGTACCAGCTTATGTCACTTATTTTGAGGCATGTTTTTCATATAAGTAAACAGCGAGGTGATATTGAGAGAACTAGAAGTCCCACCAGGATTCATTATTGGTGGCCACAATCTTAACAACATAAGATATGCAGATGATAGTAAACACGGAAAGAAAACTACAACAACTTCTCCAGAAGTTAGTGAAGGGAAGTGAGAAGAAAGGGTTAAGCATTAACTGCAAGGAGACAGAAAGTATGGTTGTTAGCAAAAGGATGAGCCTAAAGTGTAAATTGCAAATCAGATACTGAAATGAAACAAGCTCAGAAAGTTAAATATCTAGGAATTTCAATTGTATCTCTCTGGTTCTAAATATAAGTGTCTTTATTTTGATTTTCACTAAAGAAAAATATCGTTTCTCACGTGTTCAGTCCACAGAATTCTCAGCATCCTACTGTAGAACCACATTTCTGATGCCTTAATTCTCTTCATCTACGAGGAGACTGTCCAGCATTCAGTGCCATACAGAAGGACCGATATTACATAACAGTCCAGTGCTCTTTTCTTTGTTTCTAAAGAAATTGTCTTGTTTCTTAATACTTTACTTAACTTTTGGAGGGCATTTTTCGCTATTCCAATATGTCTTGCAAGTTCGGTGTCGCATTTCTCTGTTAAAACGCTTCTTAGATATATGTTTGTACTTGCTTGATTTTGACATCTTCAATTCCTATTTCGCATCTTGGGTTGTTACTATTGCTGACAATCATCCATTCTTTCTTCTTACAATGGTTAGTCCTTTCTTCGCGCTTTCCTTTACATCCTTTTAGGGGTGCCTGTAGTTTATTTTCTGTTTCTGCTATCAACAGCGTGTCCTCTGCATATCCTATGTTGTTAAGATTGTGGCTGCTACTAAGTCCTTGTGGGA